TCAGTGTAGCAGAGAGAGGTGAGACTTATCCCAAGATTTCAAATTTTGACAGATTGTGCTGCTAATACTTCCGCCCCCAAGAACATAGGTGCACAAACAGTTTATTATTGGCAGATCATGGCTTTTATATCAAATAATAGAAATGATCATAAATGACTTGACGAGAGCTTTCTGGCCCAAGAATCTTCTTCTGATACCTCTTCTGGAAGACTCTTCCCTCTCTAATCTTTTGTTTTTTCTTGTGTAGTTCAGAGAGATTTTCTAGACAGCTCGTTGAGTTATCATTGAGTTATTAGCTAATCTTGGCTGAAATCCTACTCTTTTTTTGTTTAGCTTTAATTGAGTTTATTGGTACATTTTAGAGATACAGTAAAGTTACATTTCCCTCCTCATCTACAAGCACTTTATTTCCATCTTTTCTTTATCTCACATTTTTTTCTTTTCCCTTATTACCCTTCCCCTATCCATCCCACCTTCCCTATACCTTTAGCCCCTTTCTTCCCATTTCACCATGTCAGTAATCTTATTAGAATCTTATGTATTATTGCGGTTTATTCACACCAGAGAAACTATTTGGTATTTACACATGTGTGACTTATTTATGTCACTTAGGAGTATATCCTCAATATGTATCCATTTTCTATGAATGAATCTATTTTCTCGTTCTTTATGGCTGAGTAATATTCCATTTTATAGAAAAAACACATCTTCTTTATCCAGTTTCCAACGGATGGGCAAATGGGCTGTTTCCAAGTTTTAGCTATTACAAACTGTGCCGCTATAAACATGGGTGCACATACATCACTGTGATATGATTCTTTTAGTTCTTTTGGAAAGATACCCAGCAGAGGGATAGCTGGGTCAAATGGAACCTCCAGTCCAAGCTCTTTAAGGTATCTCCATATTGATTTCCATAGTGGTTGCACCAATCTGCACTCCCACCAACAATGGAGAAGGGTTCCTTTCTCCCCACAACCCCGCCAACATTTGTTATTGTGTGATTTCTTTGTTGTTGTTGTTGTTTTGTTTGTTTGTTTGTTTTGTTTTTTGTTTTTTGTTTTTTGAGACAGGGTCTCACTATGTAGCCCAGGCTGTTTTCAAACTCACAGTGATCCTCCTGCCTCAGCCTCCCGAGTGCTGGGATTACAAGGGTGCGCCACCACGCCTGGCTTGTGTGATTTCTTGATAGCAGCCATTCTTTGTGGGGTGAGGTGGAATCTCAGTGTTGTTTTCATCTGCGTCTCTCGAATGACCAGTGATGTGAACATTTTTTCATATATTTACTTGTTGCTTTTACTTCTTTGCCTGAGAAATGTCTCTTCATTTCAGATGCCCATTTTTGAATCGGGTCTTTATATTTGCAGGGGCTGATTGTTTTGAGTTCTTTATATATTCTAGATAATAGTCCTTTGTCTGAGGAACAGCTGGTAAAAATTTTTTCCCACATTGTAGGTTGTCTCTTAGTTCTGCTGATGGTTTTTTTTGCAGTACAGAGCTTTTTAATAAGATGGGATCCCAGTTGATTCTATCTGCTAGTTCTCGTGCTACTGAGGTGAAATCCTACTCTTATAAATTGCTCGATTCTAGGACACAGAAGCAAATCTTTAGGAAAAGAAACTTAGTTTGATAAGGAAATAAGCTTCAGCGGAAGAATTGTACACTAAAATTCATTTACATGTTTATTTAATATTTAGTACCACTGTATCTTTGGATTTGAGAAAAGGCATCTTGAGTTTCAAAATCAATCGATAAGTGAACTTTTAAAATATTTAGAATACAGCTTGTTTATGAGCTGATCCTTTCTATGTTGTGTTTACAAGTGAATAGTAAACTAACCTAAATTATATTGTCATTTGAGTTACTTAAAGCTAAGACTGTATTGCTTTTCTGCAGTATAATGTATTTTCTAGTTAATGTGCTAAAGATTGTAACAATACTGCCTTTTGTTTTAAGATCCCAACTGAGATGTTTGTAAAATATAATTTGTAATTTTGTTCTGATTTTGAAAAACACAGTTGTAGTGTTTATATAGTAAATAGTGTATGGAACTCTGAACTCAATGAGAAGAAACACGTGGGTAGGGACAAGGGTTTGGGAATGGTTGAAGGGGAAAAAAAATCCACAATCAGTATTACTCATTCTTCCAAAAACAAATAATTCCATTACATTTTGATAACTGATACAAACTCAAATGTTAATAAGTTTTGGCTTAGAATGAATACATTAAGAGCATATTTATGGCATGTTCTTTTCTGTAAATCAGATGTTATATAAAATAGGAATCAGTGGGTGATATTCTAGCACCTCACAGTCAAATACAACAAATATCCATCTTGGATGTTTGTTGTTATCATTTCTGTATTGGTTATGTTTTTTATTGCTGGAGATTAAGCCCAGTGCCTTGCATGTACCAGGCAAACATTCTACCATTGAGCTACCTGGAGTCTGTAGTGTTCTTTAAAGTACCTTGGTGGCTTAAGACTTAACCATTTTAATAATTTTGAAAACCAAGAGGGATGTATGCGTTTTGGTGGCAGTAGAAGGTATTTTGTAAAGGAAATGTGTGACTAAATTTAACTTTCCACATTTATTTTCAAATAATTAGTTTTGAGGAAATTCTAGTGGTAGCTCCAAATTAGAAAATGTTGAATATGTTTAGAAAGGTTTGATCCCAAGTCATTAAGATGCTCAGGTATACTTTTAAACTAATAACTCCTTTTTAGTGTGTTTTCTACATTTAACATGATTGAAAAATTTGGAGACAAAAATCTCTGGTGAAAAAATTACTTAATATTTATATAGTGTTTGGTTTTGACTAGTGTCACTTGTGTTTGTTGAGCTCAAGTTTAAAGTGCTGAAAGCCTGTGGCAAAATACACAGTAACTTAAGTGGTTGCTGTTGTTTGGAACATTCAGCCTATGTAAATCACGTACTCAGGAATATACAGATTTATTGGTTTGCATTTACTGTAGCACTATATTGCAAATATTCTGACCTTTATTTTATTCATACAGTGTCTGATATGTAAAAAATGATTTGTAGACCAATATTATAAAGCATATGTTTTCCTCTGATTGCCTTCTACATCTGAGTAATAAAGTCAAGTCTTACTTGATTTTCCTTAGTGTGTCTTAAGCTCCCCTCTTTGCTGGGATTGAACTCTGGGGCCTTATGTGTGCTTATCAAGCGCTGTATGATTGAACTCAACTATATCTCCAGCTCCTTAGGCTCAACTTTTTTAAAGAAAGTCTTCCGATATTTGTTAAATGTTTGTGCATGTGAGAAAGGAGGGAGTTAATTTTGGGTTTTGGACTTTGAAGATGGTATTCTTGAAAATTCTTTTATGTATTTTCATTTTTTTGAGACAAGGCCTCACTTCTCGTTAGGCTGATCTTGAACTCACTATAAGGCCCAGGCTGGCCTCAAAATTGTAGCCATCCTCCTGCATCCGCCTCCCTAGTTAGTGCATGTGGCATGATATCCTGCCCTATATATTTAAAACAGAGGCATATCAATATTGATGATGGGCTGTCTTTACTTTTATGTGAATAAATTAACCTGAACTTTGTTTAGGGTAATGATTACCTCTCTCCTTTCACACGCCTTAAGGGAGAAATAGTGTTGTTGGCAAAGAATGGCTTTTGTGGAAGATCTTAATGCCACTTCTAAAATGGAATCATAATGCATTTATGTTTTGATTAACATAAGGGAAATTCTTTAAGATTGTGAATATCCAGGGGGACAGAAAAACCAAGAAATAAGAAAGCCAGATTTCCATTTCTGCCTTCTCTCATTTTTCTTAGTGATAGCCTGCAAGTTTTCCAGTCATATGAGTGTGATGAAAACTGTTAGGGCTGGGTCCATTGTGGGGAGCCACTGTATCAGAAGGCACTGGTGCAGACAAAGCACCCTAACTGCTCTCAGGGTCAGGTCTCTGTGTGGACCAGGAAAGATTGAGCTGATCTCGGCAGCCTGTCTGCCTGGTAGAGACTCCTGCCCTGAAGAAAGACTGCCATCTGATATGCTAGCTGGTTCAAGTTGCCCATTCAATGGGAGTGTAGTCATTACTGCCAGGAAACCAAACCTCAATATGACACAAATGATCCTTGTAAGTGGTCTTGAAGACAAAGACAGTTGACCTTGCAGTGGGACGTGGGTAGTGCTCATACAGCTTTAAAAAATTGTCCTTAAATAATGAAACAGAATACTTTGCAGTTTGACGTTTTAGCTAAAGATACAGTCAATGACATTTAAAAAAATCTCCAATAAACACCATACATAATTAAAAATTAAATTAAATTGTTTTCATCTTTTTAGATATGTGAATGTCACATGAGCCATTTAGGGTCATGATGACAGTGTTAATTTGCATAGATCTGTCCCATGGAATTGGGCCAAATCCTCCCCTATTTAGAAGGTTTTAAGCTTCTAAGTAGTAATTGGGATGGCTATTAACACTTTGTAATAAAAGAGGAAAAGGGACATGCATTAAGGAGTTAAATTTTTTGTTTGTTTGTTTGTTTTGTTTTTTGAGACAGGGTCTCACTATGTAGTTTAGACTGACCTGGAACTCACTGTGTAGTCCAGGCTGGTCTCAACTCACAGCAGTCCTAGCCTCCCAAGTGCTGGGATTACAGGCATGCGCCACCACTCCACGCCCGGCTTCAGTTAAATATATTTTTGTCTAAACAAGAAACGGAATATTACAGAATTGTACATTTCCAGCAGTTCTTGTTTTGTTTTATTTTTCATATTGGGATAAGTGTTTTGTTCCTCAAAATGTTAACCTAATGTGGAAATTTTACAGGTGGTTACTTTTTCACACATAATTAACAGCATGCTTACTTGTTCAGAGGTTGGGGAAAATGGTAAATTGATGGGTTTCTAAAAACTTTACTTTGAAAATGTGTAATTTTGCACGTGAAATACTTTTAGTGTTGCTTTTATACCTTATTCTGACAAATAATAGTTCTTTCTTAAATAAATTTCTTTCCCCCCAGATTTATGAAAATATGCATCAGTTTAATACTGTCTTGGAATTCATGAGATGGAAGCATAGGTCAAAGCTGTTTGAAGAAAATTGGAAGTGCACTTTAATAGCCACATCTTCAAGGTAAGGAGAAGACATTTAAGAAGATAATAGAGTAATATGAAAACTCTCCTTTCTTAAAGATTGAAAATTTCTTTCTATATTGCCACTGTCCCTTTGAGCTTCTTTAGTTTCTTTATATAGTGATGCTACAACTTGTGGGGCAGGGCACTTGAGAGGGAAACCAGGGCCTTCACACTGAGCCACACCCCCAGCCCTTTTAAAATGTTTTGAGACATGATCTTTGCTAAGTCACTAAGTTGCCCAGGCTGGCCAGGATCCTCCTCCTCCAGCCTCTCATAATGTTGGGATTACATAGGTGTGTACCATCATGCCTGACTAATACTATAGTTTTAAGAAGTAGGGGCTGCAGTAATGCCAGAAACAAAGAAAGAAGCCATTCTAAGAGTATTTTCAGGGAATCAAGCTCATTTTTAAAAAATCCACCTTGGCACTCTGATTTCTAGGTGAAGAGTTTGCCTTCTTCAGGGATAGGCATTTCGCAGGCTCATGAGGCAGTCTGTGTATTCCTGGTGTGGCTCACTCTTTCTGCTGCCTCATCGCAGCTACAAGTCTTTAGTCTGCCTGGCAGGCATTTGTATTTGCCCTTCTGAAAATACTGCTTCTGGGGCTTATGTCCTTTGATTGCTAGATAACTTCTCATTATTTTTCTTTCTTGAAATCCTTTTTTCCATGATCCACACTTAACTCATTGCTTGTGATGTTACATCCATGATCCTTTTTCAAATTCTACTTCTTCACAATTTTTCTCCTAACTATTCTTAAATAATGGCCTCCCCCAAGGTTTTATCTTTGAAATATTTTTTTCTTTATTGTTTAAGGCCTGGTGTTAGATTTCACTGTGAATAACAGGGAGGCTTCCTAGCTACCTGCCTGTCAATCTATCCATTGATCCTCTGTGTCACTTGTATCTCAGTAGTCACAGCACTTTCCCCAAAGTCTGCTGAATTTACTCTTGGTGACATGCAGGTGACTTTTCAGACATTTTTCTGGAAAAGATTTATTTGGATAACCTCTTGCTCATGACCACTAATGAGTAACTTCTGCACTTGGTGACAGTGCTTTGCCCATTCTTTCTATTCAGAAGCGGCAGTAAATCTTTACCTTAGTTCATACAGAAAACTTGCATTGTTTTCTGTAAGGCCCTCAGTTGATTTTATCTCTTCTTTCCCTTGGCCATCTACTCCCATTTTCCTCCCTTTTTGCCGCAGGAAACAACTCTAATTTGTACAACTCTAATTTGTTTGCTGTGTTTTTCCTGAATAAATGCCTCCTTACATTGTGTTGCTATGGGTAGTTATGTGTTACATGATATAAGTAGGTTTTGCTACAAATATTTTACCTTTTCTCACCGTTTTCTCTCAACACTACAAACATCTGTACATACTACATTTAACTCATTGCTTCTGATGTTATGTCCCAGATGTACGGTCCTGCATTTTTACTGTTTTGAAGAGCAGCATCCTCAGCTCAGAAGCACAGGCAATGGAGCCAGCTTGCTTCAGTTTGAATTTTGATTTCGCTGCATCTTAGTTTGAGTTCTTTGGAGAGGTAGGCCTGAGAAAAGAATGTAGGCAGCAGAGGGAGAGAAAGGGAACAGTGAGAATAAGGAAAGAGAAGAGAGAAAAGTTCCATCATGTATGTGCTGAGCCATTACACTGGGGCACTAGGCTTTGGTTCCCTGGGATCCCTATGTGGTCCCACCATGCACAGTTGGCCCTGACTGTCACCTACTGTTTGCTGAGGTCCTCTTGAGCTTCAGCACAAGTACTTCTGTGGCTGTGCCTCAGATGCTGAGCTGTCTTCTTTAATTTTGGAAACATATCTGGCTAGCAAAATCAAACCATGCTTCAGCCCTCCCTGGACATCAGGTGGTTAGATAGTATGTAGGACCACCTAGCAGAGCTGCAGGGAGAGGAGGTGGCAGAGATGTGTCTGCTGGAGTTTCCACCACTGGTCTCTCAAACCCCGCGTGTCTTGTTATACACACTGCTGCTGAGGTTTTTGGAATCATGAAAAGCGGTTCTTGATATGGGAGGGTCAGTGGGAGTAGCTACAGCCCCCATTGTTGCCACAGTGCTGAGGCTGACTGCTGCCTTGGGAGACTGGGAGGTGCTTCTGTCACCTTCATATGCGGATTCAGGTGAGAAGGTAGACCTAGTAGCATGGAGTAAGCATCTGTTCTACACCCTCCCTTGTTAGTTGGCCCATAGCAGCACTGGTAATGGAGTCTGCCTTCATAGGAGGGCTCATGTGCTGCAAAGTCTTATGTAAAGCCCTCCTCCCTCTGCTTGAGTACGGGCTCATTCACTGACCTGTGTGTGGCTCCAGCTTGAAGAGATCTAGGGCAGAAGCCATTGATAGCCACAGACAACAAGTCCTCATCAGAAGTTGGGTTGTAGTCAAATGCCTCTTTTACCTGGTATTTAGTGGTGCTGGCACTTTATGCTGATGCCCATAGGGCCATTAGCATGTGCTTTAATTTTGACTTGGCTTCTCTCTTTTTTTTTTTAAGCAAAACATTTTTTGATATATTTTAGATATACATAATGATAATACTCATCATAGGGAATTTTCACCTGTATGTGATATATCCTGCCTCTTTTTTTCCCACCCCTTAAGACTTCTTCCCCTCCCTATATACAGAAGCTTTGTTTCTATTTTTTCCTTTTATTTTTACTTTTTTCTTGTCCTTTCCCTCCTTTTCCCTTCCCAAACCCTTGTTTCTCTTCCCATGTGAACATTTTCTTACCCTTCCCAATACCTATTATATATTTTAGTCCAATTTTCACTTTCAGTTTCTCTCCATTGAGCCAGAAATGTCTCAAGCTCATCCTTCTTTATGGCAGAGTAGTATTCTACTGTATAAAAGAAAAAGAACTCACTTTTTTTTATCCATTGGTTGGTTGATAGGCATTTGGGTTGTTTCCAAGATTTAGCTGTTATAAACTATAGCTTGTACTTTAGTTGTGAGAGATCTTGCTAAGTTGCGTAGGCTGGGCTCAAACTTGTGATCATCCTGGCTCAGCTTCACAGATTGCTGGGATTACAGGTGTGCACCACCACACCCAACTGAGCTACTTTTTTTGCATGTATTGAGATGATCATGTTTTTTGTTCTTGGCTCTGCTAATATGGTGTATTACATTTATTGATTTGCATATGTTTTACCATCCCTGCATCCCTGGCATGAATCCTACTTGCTCATGGTATGTAACCTTCTTGATGATTTGCTGCATTTTGTTTGCCAGTATTTTATTGAGGATTTTTGCATCTATGTTCATTATGGAGTTTTGCCCGTAGTTCTCTTTTTTGGTTGGATCCTTCCCTGGCTTTGGTATTAAGGTAATGCTTACTTCCAGGAATGAATTTGGGAGTGTTATTTCCCTTTCAATTTCATTAAAGAATTTGAGAAGTAGAGGCATTAAGTCTTCTCTAAATTTCTTGTAGAATTCAGCAGTGAATCAGTCTCTCCAGAGCATGGGCTTTTCTTCTTTGGTAGGTTTTTTAATTATATCTTTAATTTCATTGATTGATATTGACTTATTTAGAATTTGTATGTCTTCTTGATTCAGCTTAGTAATTTATATGCATCTAGGAATCTCAATTTCTTCTGTTTTTTTCATCTTATTAGAATACACTTTCTCAAAGTAGGTATTGATCTTCTGGATTTCTTCAGAATCTGTTGAGATTTCACTCTTTTCATTCCTGATTGCATAGATTTGAGTCTTTCCTTTCTTTGATAAAATTGACTAAGGGTTTGTTGATTTTATTTAATCTTTCAAAGAATCAACTCTTAGATTCATTGATTCTTTGATTTTTTTTTTTCCTCCATCACATTAATTTCTGCTCAGGTCTTTATAATTTCCTCCCTCATATGAGCTTTGGGCTTGACTTGCTCTTCTTTTTGTAGAAGCTTGAGGTACAATATTAGGTTAGTTGAGCCCGCTCTGTTTTTCTGTTACGGGAATTCACTGCTATAAATTTCCTTCATAGCACAGCTTTCACTGAGTTCAAAAACTTCCAATATGTTGTAGTGGCATTCTCGTTTAATTGTACAAGCTGTCTAATTTGTTTTTTAATTTCATTTGTGACCCATTGGTTGTTCAGGAGGGTGTTATTTAATTTCCATGTGTTTATGAAGTTCTTGTGGTTTCTTTTGCCACTGATTTCCAATTTCATTGCACTATGGTCTGATAATATGTATGAGATAATTTCAGTGCCTTTGCATTTACTTAAGCATGTTCTGTGGGCTAGTATGTGGTCTGTTTTGGAGAATGTCCCATGTGCAGCTGAGAAGAATGCGTATTCTGATGTTGTGGGGTGGAACACTCTGTAGACGTCTACTAAGTCCATTTGTTCAAAAGTTTATTTTATTTCTGATTTTTAAAAAATTTTTTGTTTAGTTGGCCTATTTGTGACAGTGTGGTACTGAAGTCCCCCATTACAATTGTGTTAGTGCTTATTTATATAGTTGGGTGTGCTGCTATTTGGTGCATATATATTTATGATTGTTATCTCTTTCTCTTGGATTGTTCCCATTACAAGAATGTAGTGACCTTCTTTGTCTCTCTTAATCATTCTTGGCTTGAAATCTGCCCTGTCTACAAATAAAATAGCTACCCCTGCTTTTTTCCAGGCTCCTGTCACATGGAGTATTGTGTTCTATCTTTTGACTTTCAGTCTGTGAATTTCTTTTCAAATCAGATGTGTTTCTTGTATGCAGAATATTGTTGTATCTTGCTTCTTGATCCATTCTGCCAGTCTGTTTCTTTTGATTGGTGAATTGAGACCATTTACATTGATGGTTATAACTCATATATATATATATATATATATATATATATATATATATATATTTATGGACTTATCTTTGTCATGTTATTTTCCTGTCGTTGGTTCTCTTTTCCCCCCTCTGGTGAACACTTTGTCTGGTAGATTCATTCTGTTGGTGTTTTTGGAGTTGTAGTCCTTGTTATTTCTTTATTCTAGAATGTCTGTCAA